ATTATCATAAAAACAAAAAGTTTTTTGAGAACGTCTGTTTTTTGGGTTGGCAAAAGGATCAGCGGAAAGAGTTTTCATTTTTTAATATAATATACTTTAACATATTATAAAAATATTTATTTAGTATAATAAAAATTTTTTTTGCTTATTAATTTATTTTATTGTATAATAAAAAATGTCCACAATAATATGGGTATCCTCTGTATATAACCTTTAATATATTAATTTTAATTTCCTAATTAGTTTTATTTAAATAAAATTAAATAGTTATTTAATAATTTATATAAACTAAGCTATATCTAATTTGAATTTAATTTGTATCTGATTGGATTTAAAAATTTAAAAATTGATTTGATTTGAATTCAATTGGTTTAAAAATTTAAAAATTTGATTTATATCTGATTTGTAGATCATTCGAATTCAGATAAAAATTGGAATCCCTAATTATTACTTATTATATTTATATTTATTATATTATAATTTGATATAATTTTAAAAATTTTTTTTTGAAATAATATTATTAGCAAATTTGTTATTGCTAATATTTTGAGTTTAATTAAAGCTCTATATAATATATTCAAATTAACAGTATCAAATATTTTGGCTGTTTTAAAAAGAATCTAGCTTCTTTACAAATATTGTTAAAAAGTTGTATTGATTTTTGTATACTTTTTTTAAGAATTCTACAAAATATATTTGTATTGTTTTAATAATTTAAAAAAAAATTTATTTTAAAGAAAATTCCTATTACTATAATTTTTATTAAAATTAAATATTTTAAAATCATGTAACCATTAGAAAAAAAAATTCAATTTTCAATAAAAATCAAATACAATATTAAAATTAATATCTAGATTTAAATTTCGCATCGCAAAACAAATTCAATTAATTTAAATATAGATAAACGTTATATCTATATCACTATTGTCAAAATATTGCAGATATTTAATTAAAAAAAACTATATTATCTTTATCATATTTTAAAGTTGAATACTATAATTCAATTCTTTATTCTAAATTAACCAAAAAATTTATTACTTTCTAAACTTTGCTATACTATTAATACACCTATTGGTATCAATCAAACTTATTATCAATAAATAGATATAAAGATACTTAACAGCTGTAAGATATATACTTACCTTGAATAAAGTTTTTATTGCATTTACACAGTTAAAAAATATATTAAATTCATTTTTTTTTTAATATACAGTATAAAATACACTAATTTTTTTGATTTTTTATATAAACTAATATGCTTATTCTATTTTGCTAGTTTAGTATTTATCAGTTGATTCGTCAATAATGAATTCTTGAACTTACGATCACATTAAAAGCAACCAATTGTATGTTTCATCAATTTATTTAATTTATTTATAACGCGTAGACTCCACATAAAAAAAAAAAGATTAAATAAAAAACGGTCTGACTCGAAAAGGACGACTAATACTTTCTTAAAAAAAAATAGTATTAAAAAAAATTTTTTTTTAATGTGATTTATTTTTGCCTGCAAAGAAACCTAAGAAACCTATGTAAATTTTCTTTCCTTTTTTTTTTTTTTTGGAAGACATCAAAGGGAAAAGACAAACTCGAAACAAAAAAAAATCACATTAAGAAGTTATATGCAAAAATGAAAGCTTCGAACCGTTTAAAATTTTTGGCGTCGTATCTAATTTTAAAAAGAAACGTGAAACAACATAAAAAAGCCTTTCGAATTACCCATATAAACAAAGTCCATTTATGAAAGTGATATTTCGCTTCCAAAGATTCCTAGTTAAATTTGCTTAGGTCGTAAGTATCGAGAAGTTTCAAAATATAAAAAAAAAAAGGAAAAGAAAAAAAGATAATATAAAACTCGTTTAATTAATTCTATCCCCAAAACTTAAGCATAAAATAAAATTATTCATTCCGTGATCCTTTTGGTGTTGGGAGACCCACATTCTTTCATCCGAGGTTCATGCTGAAGCTTTACCCTGATTCGGTGTGGTGGGGATTGTGACGTTCCTATTTTCGCTGGCCGATAATGGTGACTTGGAACTCGCATCATCCGATTTCGAATCGTCGGAAGGATCTGTCTTTTCATTGTTCAATTGGGGACTGTCAATCTCTGAGCGTTCATCAATTGGATTTTCTTGGGCGGATTCAAGCTGTTTGCTCGATCCATTACTATTATTTTGTTCGCTATCTGAATGATAACCACCATTCTGCGTGGCGGCAGCATTGGCCGGATGACCATTATGGTTATATACATGAAAGCCTTCAACGTATTCTTGAGAATGAAACGCCGGAGACGTGAGAGGATGGTTAGAAAGTTGAGACGTTTGGGGAATCTCGATCTTCATTAATGGTGGTTTTCCGTCAGACGTCGGATTGGCACTTGCCGGACGAGACTCATAGTTCGAAAAAGCCGAAGATGTGGCCGTCGGAACTGATCAAAGAATCAAATGATTCATTTAGGGATGTTACACACAAAAAGATGACGATCATTGATAAACGTGCAATGTGATATAATAAAAATGAAATACCTTCGAGATTATTTGGGTCAATATTGTGATTGTTGAACATGTCATTATTTTGACTATCACCCGTCTGGGACATGTTATGAACTATGTAATGAGGTTGATGTTGATGAAAAGGTGATGCCTCGGACGTCGTCGGATTGGTAGGGATCATAATCTGCGAGAAACCTTGAAATGGAGGGTATTGGCCGTAAGCGCCTGGATAGTGAGGACCACTGAAGTCGGCCGAGATCATACCAGGAGAACCATTCGGCCCAGAATGCGGAAAATTCATGTGATGACGACCGTCGTTGGGATACGAGGGATGCATTGCCATAGGGCTGAAACGTTCGGAACTATCAGCATAATGACCCGGGCTACGGCCACGAACGACCAAAGGAGCCGAGACGGTGGTGGCGACTAAATAGTTATCGCAACTCTCAGTTTGAGCGTAAAGTTCAATTATTATTACATAATATTGTTGAGCGGCACGACGTTTCCCGTTGTTCGCAGTAGCCGTCTTGAACTGGATACGTTCAAAGGTAACAAGATTTGAGTTTGACCCGACCGAACTAAGGTTGAGATTTCCACCGGGACGAATAGGCTTTGGCAAGGGAACCATCTGCGGACCCTTATCACGTTTTGGAGTGTGTTGTACCAAGTCGATTTTTTTGTCGCTGTTAGAAACTCGAGCCGAAATGCCCAACGAGAATTGGGTCACCGGAAGGAATTGGCCGTTGGCCTCTATCAAACATTGAACATCAGGTTCCTTGAGTGGATGAGATGCGCAGGTGACGGAGAAGGCGCTACTGATTTGAAAGTAATTTCTTCGATAGCATGTCCAATCATTGTCAGCCAAAAAGAAGCCACGATCAACCTTAGAGTTGATACAGATCTTGTAACTTTTTAAAATGAAGAAATCCAAACAGGTCCAAATTCGAGACGTCAGTAATGAAAGATTAAATGATAGGGAAAGATGAGCAGCATTTTAACGGATACCTCGTTGTTCGGTCCGTGCTATACAAATTAAAATGTTGCTGCGTTTGCAAAAAGAATGAACCAACGTCACTAAAATTCACTGTGTTGTCCCTACGTTTTCTGACGGCAGTACTTTGAAATGGAGCAGCGTGAAAGGAAGAAGTTGTGAATGCGCGTCGATTATCAATTTTTTGTTCGGGGGGAACAGGATTTGAAGCGGTCGAGGTAACAGGGGAACCAACATTCTGTCGTGTCACGGGAGCAGGCATCGCAACAAAGCTGTGCACGATAAGCGAGACGAAATTCGAAAACGGGGGGATGGTCAGTAATTATTACTTGCCACGCATGAAGTTGATAGCATACACACACGTGGATTGATCGATTGATAATGATAAAGGACCAGCGGCAATAATTTATGGTGCATCCAAACATATTCGCACTTGACAATCAATCACCTTTGCGGAGTCGCAATTTCTTGCTTTGGCGTAACAATCACATTATTCCCGTCGTTGGCTTGCCTATATTAGCATACATAATATACACAGGTCAATATATTGTGTTAATATGATTGGTAAAACCGTTTTATGTTTGAGAACCAAGGGGCAAGGAGAGAGAGAGAGAAGACGCAGTAATTTTCGGGGTATAGGAAAGAGTGTGTGTGTGTGTAAGGTGACACGCGGCGACGAGAAACATTAACTTGCATAACCAAAACCAGTTTGTACGAAGTACAAAATGAAACGCGAGTTCTAAACTATGCTCGTTGTGGTAACTGTGAACGTGCGCGACACAAGTGGTTTTTTTGTTATAAAGAAGAACAGAACATTTCGCAAGACTCACATTTGTGGATTTTGAATTTGAGCTTGAGGCGTTTGACCTTCGTAAGGGAAAGGCGGCATAAAAGGTTCCGTCGAGATACTACTCATTTGTGGTGACAAAGGAGGATGAGTTTGGTGAGGGGATTGAGGAACCTGTGGATTTTGTTGCATGGACCACTTTTCTTCGGTTATGTTCATATTCTCTTGAAACGTACACCGTGAGAAACTTTTTGTATAGGATGTCAAAAGAAAAAAAAAGGGTTTTAACAAATTGACACTCTTTGGAGATGAGTTAAAAGATTCTCCAGAACTGAAAGTATAAAGAACCGTGTAGTTATTTGTGGGTGGACAAGGGGAGTGATGCCAAGTAGTTGGGTGGTTGTCGTGAATATTCGAGTATTTGTGTAAACAAAAGCGTCAAAGGTCAGTAGAAATTTATCGAATGTTACGTATCATCTATGGGGGAATTATTATAACATCTCTGATATATATGAAAATCAATATAATTAAACATTGGATGTGTTATATACATAATTTAAAATAAGAAACCGGAAGCGGGCGGACGGACGAAAAAAAAATAAAGAAAAAAAAAAATCAAATGGAATTCAAGAGAGAGAGAAGTGTAAAGTGAAACAAAAGCATACACACAACTCCGAGAACCCTCAAAGAAATTTGTTATTTTAGATATTATTTTTATAATAATGACTTACTTACACCTAAGCAAACTATAAGAAAATAGGATAGTTTGTACCTGAGAGCAAGGAAAAAAAGGCGGTTCAATGTTACTCACCCTTTTGTAGGCGGTGCACAAGTTGACCTTTTTTGTTCAAACAACAAGATATTTTATCTGGGAGAGTTGTTGGGTATACCAGAAAAAAAAAACCGGTTCGAAGAACGGATGAACAATTTGTGTAACCAGGTGACAATTAGACGGATGCAGGATGCGGATCTATCACTCTCACCAACACCGATCATTTGTGCGTCGTGGCAGATTTGTCACATCTTATATGCAAAAAATTCCCTCACGGAATGCGGGCGAATCCGTGTATGTATAAGATCTTTTGATATAAAATCGAAACTTACCAAGTTTCGCGTCCACTATAGATGTTTTATTACCCAAATTGATGTTATTCTTCATTATCTTATCTCTTTTTAAGATTGTTGGTAATGCAAATGAAGCGAAATCAAGACCAAAGCAAGTATGAGCGTTGCATCGGTGTTACTGCAAAAATAATCTATAGGAAACGTGATCGCTCGGAAAACATTTGTATGATCTACTGCATCCTAAATAAGTAAATTTCCCCTGATTCCTAAACCCATAAGTGGGAATGGCGTTCTGAAATTGCTGTTCGTGTACACTTCCAAGTGTGTGGGAAATTAAAAAAAAAAAAAAATCTGATCAGGGAAAACCTAACATCAAGTCTGTGTATCAAACTCGTTGCGGATCAATATTTGTTATACGTACATTTTTTGGTAGCAAGGTTGATTGATTAACAAAGTTCTCGTTTATACTTTATTTTTATTGTATGATTAGAAACAATCTACGCGATTAATGAAGAAACTACAATGATTGGCCGAACCGGTAATTCTTCTGAGGGTCAGGCGTGATTTAGCGAAAGTAAGAAATCATCTTTTCTTCCTGGAATCTGGCTTTAACCAATTTGACTACCTCTGATGGGTAAGAATTTTCTGGATCCTTGATCTTCTCGTGTGCATCTGCCTCTGATTTGGTCATGACCACACAATTTTGATGAGTTAATGATTGATCGTGTTTCCACCGAATGAGAGTTGGCTTTTCACTTGAACCAGAGATTGCGCTTTTGCTACGCCATATTTCGTCAAATATATATCCAACTTCGTGAAAATCGAAAGGAATCGATCTGGAAAAGAATCGGTCACCAAAGAAAGGTTTGAATATCGCATCTTAAGAATGTAGACCAACAAAAAACATTCTTACTCACTCTAATCCATAGGTTCTTCTCTCCCTATTCAATAAGTCACGATGCATCCTGGCATATAAAGCGTCGCGATTCTTGTTTGCCAATGGTTCAATTGGATGTCCGGAAATATTAGTTATAATATAGGTGGCAATTGACATCCCGAAGATCGCAGGAATAGTGCCTGGGTTGTTAATGTGATGGTTATTCGTTAGATCTGATGTAAAATGGAAGACAGAGGAATTATTACCTAAGACTGGCAGGATCCTAGACCTAAAATCGGGTAAAGTCGCATAATCAGAAGCATTCTGAAGTTGACTCTCCTCTATTAAACATAATTATGTTAAATGATATCAAACACAGAAAGATGTAATAGTTTCTTCACAAGACGGTAGCATAATTCACTGACTCAGTGGCAACAATTTGACGTTAGGTTTTTCCGAGGAATAAACCACCGTGATTCCCGATTCGACTCCCAATTTTTTGAGACGACGTCTAACAACTCTGGCAAGTGGATCCTCTATTATGACAAAACTTTAAAATATCATTCATCGAATGAACAAACAGAATAACAGAACACATTCGAGTGATTATTAAATACCGATTGTTTGACTAATATCACTAATTTGCACACGTGATGGATCAGCTTTAGCGCCTGCTCCCATAGAGCTCATAATCTAAAAAAAAAAAAAAAAGTTTTGATTTATGAATCTCTCAAAAAATCATTCAAAAAAAAAAAAAATTTACCGGGAGTTTATTATCATGACAATATTTGAGAAGATCTATCTTTGTATCTATATTGTCAATAGCATCGATAATAAAATCTGGATTTCCTACAAATTTTTACATCCAATAATTTGTAAACCACATTGAAGGATTTGATAATATTCAGCACATAATTGACCGCAAATTACCTTTTAAGAGATGAGGTGCACTTGATTTTGTGAAGAGCTCAATTACCGGTTCAACTTTCGCCCACGGTGCAAACTCCTTAAAGTTTTTTTGCAATGCAACAACTTTGGGACTACCAACGTCTGCATGTGTAGCAACCGCGTGTCGGTTCAAGCTGCTCAATGTAACTTGATCAAAGTCAATTATTCTGATATGCTGGATACCAGAACGAACAAGCATCAACGCTGCCCAAGATCCAACTCCTCCAGCCCCTACAATTATAATAAAGGATTTTCGTAATTTATTAACACCTTCCTCTCCAAGGAAGGCTATATTTCTAGCCAACTGTTCTCTGATAAGAGTTTCGTCGAACTGTTTAACGTCAGCGGTGTTATTCGAGGTCCGTGAGTCTTGTATTCCTCGGGTTTTGGCATTTGACAAAGGTTCCTTTTTAAGAGCTCTCCCGCGCGCGTCTCTTTGAAAAGATTGATATGAAAAAATTGCTATCCCTGTGGCAAGCGTTGCACCTATGGCAGTTAAAGCAAGCTGAACTTTAATGTTTGACAAATAAGGGTTGAAAGAATTCGCGAACGAATTCATATCTGATCGTCGCGAACCCCAACACTTGAATAACTAAATAAAACTGGAATATTGTGCAACTAGGCTACGGAACGAGAAAGATCGGCCTGATACTCAAATTTGGCTCCGACTTTCGATTGATTTTTTAACCTTTTCTTGTATCACGTATTTTCGCCATTCAAAACGTTTATTTAATAACGGAACCAAATATTTAGATTTCCATGATCTTAGTTTTGTTAATCGTTTCATCATTGTTTTAATTTAAAAAAATAACAATTTCTCAATTTTTATTAATTTCCAATTGCATTGTTTATATCAAATTATATCACTTTTGTTATTAGCATCGGATTTCAAAAAAAATATTGTATAATCGTTTATTAATATAGAATTTTTTAGCTATTAAAAGAACTTTAAATTAAAAATTTATAAATAAAATATTTTATATAACAGTGATGCTAAATTGGTATTATTGAAAAAATTTTTTATTATGTTAATATAAAAATTAATTAAAAATAAATATATTGTTTTTGTAAATAAAAATTTTAAGATTATATATAATTTTATTTAAAACCTTTATTATTTGATTTGATTTTTTTTTAATACAAGTAAAGATGAATTTCAAAACTGTTTAGCATATAATATTTTGCAAAAAATATTTGAATTATATTTAAATTAAAATTATTTATTTATTAAATTGTTATTATTTTTTTTTTATAATTAAACAAACTTATATTGTTTATTAAATTTCTTTATAAAAAACAAATACATAATATATAGTATATTAAGTATTATATTAAATATATAAGCTATTTTATAAACTTGGATATTTGTTTTAAACAATTGTCTTTAAATATAACTTTGAAAATAAATATAATTAATAGATTATTACTATAATTTATTTTAATAAAATCTTTATTATTTTTATATTTTTATTTATTTATTTATTTTTTTAAGTAAAAAAACATTATTGTTTTATAAAATTATAAAAAATATAAATATTTTATATATAAAAAAGTAACAATATCTCTTATATAACTAATTGACCAATGAGTTTAATATTGGTTTGCTTATAATAAAACTATTTAAGTAGTAAAAAAAAATAAATATTAAAATCAATATATATCAAAAATAATATTAAACAATTATAAATACTTATTTAAATTTATATATAAAAAGATTTAAAAAAAATTAAAATAAAAAGATTTAAAGAAAATTAAAAAATAAAAAAAAATTTGATATAAAAAAAATTATTAAAAAAAATTAAATAATAATATTAATAATATTTTTTTTTAATAATTAATTAGATATAATAATTGTTAATTAATAATAATAACAGTAATAATATAATTATTGTCAGATATTTTATTGTAAATAAAAAACAAATATGAAAAACTCTAAAAATAAAACAAAAAATTTTTAAAATTTTAATACCTAAATATGTTATTTTAGTAATTTTATTTTCTTGAAATATAATAATATTTTTTGAAATAATTAGACTTTATATTCTAGATATATTTTAATTTTTTTTTTATTTTAAATCAAGTTATATATTACTTTAGTTTATTAACCTTAAATAAAAATTAATATATAAGTACAATATATATATTAAGATTAAACCATTTAATATTATACAGTATACTTATCAATAGTTAATAGATTCTAAATGTAATTGTAAAAAAATAAAAAAATAGTTTAATTTTAAAAAATTTTTTTTATTTATTCTAAAACATTATAGCCAATCTTTATTTAAAACTATTATTTTTATATAATTATTATAGTTTTATAAAGATAAAAAATTTAAGAAAAAGGAAAATATAAAGTATACTAATAAATTAAAAATTTCTTTAAATCAATCTCAAGTTTAACTATTTTATAACTATAAATCTATTTAATTTTTATTATTTTTATTATTAATCAAAAATATTTAATTTTTCATTATTGATTTTTTTTCCAAATTGACTTTTCTATATTTATAACTTTACTTAATCAATTAATTGTTTCAAATACTATTTTTTTGATTATTTTTAAGATAATTAATAATAGAAAAAAACTTGTTACTGAATCTAAAATAAAATTTTTCTTCAATTTTGAAAAAAAATCAATATAAAAAAAGAGAAGAAAAGTATTAAATTATTTTTTACAAAATGAATACTTCAATACCTTGCTTTTTTTACTTAAACTAATTTTTTTTTTTTTGTAGGTAAACATCATTTCTTTATTTGATTTGTATATAGCATGATATACATCGTGAAAAAAACAACATCTCTCATGTGTTAGTACAATAAGTTAAATGCTAGCTTGCCTACAGTAACCATACAACTAATATTGAAAAGAAAGTTTAAAACAATATATCTTGCCAAATGGCATTAAGCAGCTATAAATACCTACTCAGCATCGGGGGAAATCAAGTTAATATTAGCAAATAGAGTTGTTAAGTTATAAATATATTTGGAGTAGTTATATTTAGATTGGATAAATGAATTGGCAACAGTAGAAGGTAGGTCAATGATAATGTTTTCTTGTGGATTGTTGGAGTTGTCTTTGGTTTGCGAGGTTTTTTTGGTTTCTGGATTGGTGGAGTTGATTGAATTGTGCGACTTAGTATGGTTTCACTTGATTTCAGTAAAAGGTGAAGTGTTGGCTGTGGAGCAACGTGGTTTCCAAATTAGATCATGTAACAGGGTTAAAGATTCTGTTACTGCCTTGATCCAGTTGATAAAGGTTGAGGTGGAAAAGATTTTGTTTGTGATTCCACATGACAATTCGATGGCTTGCCATATGTGAAAGATTGGTTTGTGATTATTGTCTGGATGGAGAGTTTGATTAATAGTTTTTATGATTTGTTCCGTTATTTGCAATGCTTCCGGACATTTGAAAACATGTTGAATGTCTTCAGTGCGAAGCTTGCATCGTGAACATAGAGTGTCTAAATATTGGTTAGGATATAGTTGGTGGAGTATGAGGCAAGTTGAAAGAGTTCCTGAGAGCATTTTAACTCTAAAGGCTACTAGGGTGCTGTACTTGTTGTTATGGAATTTTTTGATGTTTTTGTTAGATTGGTTGATGACTTTTAAACCGTGTGGGGTATGTGTTCGTCCGAATGTTTGGACGACTGAGGAGCTTTCACATACCATATAGTCTCTGGTGATGCTGAAAATTTTTTTGTACCATCTGACACTACTACCTAGGCAAGTATTGTTGATTAAAGGATTTTCAGAAAATTGTAGTGGGAGATTGTTCCATTGAATGGTTCTGGTTGATATTGGTCTGGATTTAGATTTGGTATATATAATCTCTATGAATTTCTGTTATATACTGTTACGGTGAAAACACGGCGAGTCAGTCACTTCAGTCTGACTCACGTCGTGTCACGTTTGGGCGGGTTCTTGCTTCTCAAAAGAGGCGTGTGAA